GTACATGAGCAGATTAATCTTTTGCAACTTTCTTCAGATGAAATCTGTGGTTCTTTAGGAAGCAAGTATATTGTGTCTTGCCATTCTAACTTCCCCCAAGACTATTGTTGGTTTGGAACTTCGAAAGTTGAGATGCACTTGGTGTTGGACTGCTGAAGATTGATTCAGGAATGCCAGTTTAGGCTAAGGATTATCTTTATTTTTTATGTGATTGAAGGAGACAATAGAGAAACCTTGGGTCAGGAGATGGGGCATGGTGGAGATGTTATGTGATTCTCGTGTGGCAGCAGTATGATTTAAACCTACTAGTATGAGGCACTGTGTATTTGGTAGTGATGGAAATTTTCAACAATTGAAGCATCAAGAAGGCGGAAATTTGAGTGTAATGCATCTCTGTTCTTGATGCTTATATAGCCATTGGCATCAAGCTGATTTTGATCATATATTGATTTCTTTTCTGGTTTCCTGTATTGCAAATATATCATGATCTGGATTTGTCTCGTTTTAATGTTGCATCATTAACAGTGTACACCAATGAATATTATTTGTTCCTTTTTTTGGTTGGTAGTTCAAAAGTTTGAGCAGTGAATAATCTATGCAGATACATACCTGAGAAGGCTACATCACTGGCATATTCTCTTCTGAGAGAGCTTGTCGAGGTCAGCTGTTTACCTTTGCTTTTGCTAATGTTGGTATACTTTGTCCTATAGGGTTTTGTTGACTGTATGAGACAGAATCTGTGAAACCTAATTTGTGAACGATGATGGGATTATGATGATATAGTCATAACATGCAGTTGATTAGTAATTTGTTGGCCCAAATTTCCCATTTTCATGTCCTAATATTCTTATCTTTAAATATCTAGAAGCTAAGATGTCGGCCTTGTCCAGTTGTTGTGGCAGCTCTTTCTGGTGGTTCTAAGGCCTGCATGTATAAGTTTTTTCAGGTATAGTGACTTCGACAATCACTCACAAGACTTTTTGATGTACACTGTTTCACTTCTGGTTGAATGCATCCTTTTTTTTGTGTGTTTGCATCCCCTATGCTGCCTCGTCGAGGTGTCTTGTGGGTTTGACCAGCAAATCATGTTGACCTAAGGGTAAAGTCCTTGGTCTTTGGTTATTGGAGAGCAATGCGTTTAATACTTTCCGCTTGATGCAGATTGTTAAAGGGAGATCTGAAGCTCAAGTTAATCTGGTACGCAATTCTTTGAATCTGCTGTGAGGTTGGAATACATATATTGCTATGTATTCAGAGATCCATATTTTCCCCTGTGATAAATTATTGATAGCATTAACTATTTGTTGAATCTTTCACTCTTTTGCAGGAGGACAGCCAATTGGTCATTAACTGCATCTCAGGTCAAATTTATGATTCTTGTCCTGTTGATTTCACTGCAGACTTTGGAGCACAATTTTCTGTGCCTCCCACAATTCTAAAGTTCCCCGGCTCCACAAAGCTACTGTCTCTGGTTGCGAAAGGTTTTACTTCTGGATTAGATGCCCTATTCATAACTAGGTTTGGATCCCAGCGTTCTGAGTATTGGCGAACTCTTTACTCCTCAGTTGTAAGTTTCAACTAGCCGGAAGTCATTTTGAAATTCCTAATATGTTATCCCTCCTAGTTGATTTATCCTGTTCCCCTGCAGAGTTTTGGGGCCCCTTTTCTCATTTTGTGCTCAGAAAATGATGATATTGCACCATATCAATCTGTATCTAAATTTGCTCACAGCTTGCAAGACATGGGGGCAGATATCAAAATGATAATGTGGAAGAGTTCCTGTCACGTAGGTCAGTTGATACTACAGTAGTCTCTTGCTGTATTGTTTTCTTGTCATATCATTACGGTGTTTCAGCATTTTTGTTCTTCGGACACATTGTTTTCTGTATCTAGCGCTTGTATCCCTTTTGGTTTTCTCCGGTTACTCTGCGCATATACTGTTGGTTCCAATTTTCTCTGAGTTCCATGTTTTTGAACGTGTGCATCAAACATTTATCGTTATCTTGCAGGTATGTACAAGAGTGATCCCATCCAGTACAGCATTGCTATTGATCAACTACTTGCTCAGGCAACTTCAGTTTTCACTAGCAGAATTAAGAAACTAGGAGAGAGAAATGGCTTGGATGATATGCATGATGAGATATCTCACATGATTTGTGACCTCCAAAATGCAGCAGCTGACTCGAATGGAAGTTTTAGAAGAGTTGCAGGGGGACCAAATGATCATTTTTTCTTGCCAAGTTCATCTGACCGTCAAAATGTTAGTGATTCTGGCTCTTCCTCCGAAGAAAGAAAAGATCTGCCTATTTGGCCAAATCCCAGTTTAAGTGCACACACTGTCCTTGGCCAAATCCTTTTTGATGCTTGTGTTCCTAAGAATGTTGAAGGTTGGGATGTTAAGTATACTTCTTCCTTAAAAGGCCAACCATTTTCCTCAGTGCGTAAGCATTCACCACTAAATGCTATCAAAAACTTCTGCCGTTCACGGTTATGAGGCCATTTCTTGTGGAACTCACTTCAGCTTTTCACATTTCTTTGAGATGCACTGTATGGTTAATATCATAATTTTACCTCCATGATTTAAGAAGTTTATGATGAAATATTGGAGGTCACTTTTCAAGGTGAAACTGACTAATGATCTGATTTGGCTGGCTACTAGAACAAAGTGTACAGGTTAAATGAGGAACACATCTTCTATCTTAATGGGATGGGCAGACATGATGTGGTGTGTATGAGAGCTGTTAATATATGGAAAGCAGCATGTACCATTTGATTGGTCTGGGAAGCGTTTGAGCCACTCTTCGGTTGCTTCAGGTGATGTGATGATAAGAAACTATTTGGAAGCCTTTAGCAAGTGGTGATTTTATATATTGTTCAGTAACATGTACATAAGGCACTTTTACTTGCTTCTGGGAATCTGACGTTTCTGTCTTCCCACACATGTACATAACGTATCTATTCTGCCAGAGACTCGTTAGCATATGAGATAAATACTGTAGAACTTTGCTGTATAATTATGAACCTGGATCAGCTATGTATTCTGGCTGTGTATATATCTGGAAATTTTGCAATTTTCTCGAACTCTGTTATAGGTCGGAAAACGATTCCCCTCTTTTTAGTTGGTTGATGACTTCAGGAAGGTGCAAGATGATAATATTAACTGAGAATGCTGTAACATGTTGCGGGGTTACCTTACATCCTTTGATGAGTAGCAGTTGCATGCCACCTACTGTCTCAAGTAGGTAAATAACCCACCAAGGCATATAATACCGTGACACTTGGTTGAGTCTTTGATTATAGGTATGATATTCAGTTTTCAGAGTCTTCATTTTTCTTCCCCTTTTTCCAAAGGCGGATCTAAAATTGCAATTTATGAGTTATGGCAACCCCTTGTTTCACAGAACCTATTTGTGCAATTGGTTCACAGTTTTCATATGTACATTTTTAGTTGATTTTTTAATATATATATATACAGAGTTTGGGTCTAAGTTACTAGATTCTGATGTACCCGTTCCTTATATTACGTTCTTTGCTAATTTGCCCTTTCTTGTCCCTGAAATTAATGGTACGTATATTTGTAGACTTATTATGCCATAATATTGCCCGTAAGGTTAGTGATCACCATTCACGGTGGAATAGTTTAATTTCACTTTAATTTTTTCAAGGATATTACATTTACGAATTTGAAGAAAATCTAAAAAAAAAAAAAAGACGGAAATTATTTTTATTATATATAAATATTTTAACATATTTTCACCTTTGTTCTATTTATTATGATGATGATATATATGATCAGTTTAGATGACGAAATGAGAATTCATATAGCCGAATTCAACTTATTCTCCATAATATTCAGAAAAGTTTTAACAAGGTTTCTTTATTTTTGTTTTTTTATAAGAAAAATAAAATTCTTCTTTAGTGATCATAACACATGTCTGTATTTAGTTTTCAATTTTCGAAATGGAGAAAGAATAAATAGTTGAATTATTGCTTATGATGTAGAATTCCAAGAATGCGAGGACAAGGAAGAGTGGGCTCCCGTCAAGTAGAAAAACTGAGGCCAACCAGTTAATTTCTTATCATCACCAATAGCCACACGCCTCTCTTACCCATTCATACTCCCAAAAGGGTACCCTTAAATTTACTAAATCACCCACCAAATATGCTTCACTTGCCACAACTTTTTCTTACGAGGCCTAAACTATTAGCTATCCAACTCCACTGGTCTAACTAATCTAATTTCGCTCCCAATAAACCTATATTAAGAGGGGTAAACTTCGAAATCTTGATTAATAGTAGAGAAATTCTAGAAGATATATTTTGTTGTCATATAGTTCAATTTCAATTCTCAACTCATGACTAGCAAGGGCGAATCTAGGAGAGAGCGAAAGGGTGTTCATTTGAAATTACTCGACAAAAGTTTAATATATATGATATTTTAAAAAAATAATTAATGGATATATACAAATTTTGAATCTCTTGAATACAAGATTAGAGGTTGCTTCATTGATTTAGAATTCAAGATTCACCTTAAGGTTCTAGCTTCAAATCCTATGCCACTAATAACTAATACGAACTCGAAATTTCCTTTTATAATTCCCAAAACCTTTTTCATAATCACTCTCTTAATTATATCATTTCTAAGAAACCTAAAAAATGACTATTTCATTATATTTCACCCATATCCAAATTGTTTATTAAATAACCAAACTATTTTATGTTGTTTATACTCTAATATTCTTAATTAATTCAGTCATTGCGATAACACATTATTTATAGATTTCACTTCACCGCATCCAATCCCTTTTTATGGTCACCTGACACCAACTTGCTACAATGTTTGAAAAGTTTAACGGTAAAAGGGACATTCTTGTCCAAACTTTATTTTGACATTAACGACCCTTTGCAACAATCAAGAGTCCACTAAAACGTTTTGCCACACATTCATTGACTCCCACAGCTCTACAAAATGGTCTGACATCTTTTTTGCAACTTCCAAAATGGCATCTTTTTCTATCAAATTTTTGGCACCTTCATTGCCAAATCCAACTAGATTTTCCAAGAGTAGTATTGTCAAGCTCAATGCAACTCCGCCGCAGACAGTGGCTGCGGTGGGGACTCCAGAGGTTGCTGCTGAGAGACTAGAACCAAGAGTTGAGGAAAAAGATGGATATTGGATACTAAAAGAGCAGTTTAGGCAAGGTATTAATCCTCAAGAGAAGGTGAAGATTGAGAAGGAACCTATGAAGTTGTTCATGGAAAATGGTATTGAAGAGTTAGCTAAGATTCCAATTGAAGAGATAGATAAATCTAAGCTTACTAAGGATGACATCGATGTTAGGCTTAAGTGGCTTGGCCTCTTCCATAGGAGAAAGAATCAATGTAAGTACTCAACCTCAACTCCACACCATATGTAATAATAACTAACTCAACTATCAAAAGCCGATTCAGAATTTAAACTTAATTTATAGATTCAGTTTGTTTATGGCAATGACACTATATGTTATGGCAATGACACTAAAGGATTCCATTTTTTCATTTTTTTATAAGTATTTTTAAATATTAATTTGTGATTAGATTTGATATCCAAATTCATAAAGAAGTTTTACTCTCGAAATCTGAACTGTACCACAGGTGAGTATTGGTTTTCACATGTATATCTATATTCCGTGTCAAAACTGATGCATTCGGTTGAATCCATCATTTGTATGGTGCACCCGCCTCTATCACATACATCTCATCCGCCTAACCCTGTACTGCATAAAACGCCTTTTTAAAACACTGATTTTCATTACCAAATTTGTGTGACCAGATGGGAGATTCATGATGAGGTTGAAACTTCCAAATGGAGTAACAACGAGTGCTCAAACTCGATATTTGGCAAGTGTGATAAGGAAATACGGGGAGGAAGGATGTGCTGATATTACGACAAGGCAAAATTGGCAGATTCGTGGAGTTGTGCTACCTGATGTGCCTGAGATTCTGAAGGGACTTGAAGAAGTTGGCTTGACTAGTTTGCAGAGTGGCATGGATAATGTCAGGAATCCAGTTGGAAATCCTCTGGCTGGAATTGATCCTGAAGAAATAGTTGACACAAGACCTTACACTAATTTGCTCTCCCAATTTATCACTGGTAATTCACGAGGCAATCCGGCAGTTTCTAACTTGTAAGTCTTCCATACAGTATATATGTCGTTGATTCGTGCTATAATCATTTTGTTGGTTCTCTTGTGTGAGAAAATTAAAGTGGTTTCATTAACAAGAATTTTGCAATGTTTTGATTTTATTGTAGGCCAAGGAAGTGGAATCCGTGTGTAGTAGGCTCTCATGATCTTTATGAGCACCCTCATATCAATGATCTTGCATACATGCCTGCCATAAAAGATGGACGATTCGGATTCAACCTGCTTGTGGGAGGGTTCTTCAGTGCCAAACGATGTGATGAGGCAATTCCTCTTGATGCATGGGTTCCAGCTGATGATGTTGTTCCGGTTTGCAAAGCAATACTGGAAGCTTTTAGAGATCTTGGTTTCAGAGGGAACAGGCAGAAATGTAGAATGATGTGGTTAATCGATGAACTGGTGAGTGATACATCGGTACATTCACTGTTGTCATGCTTGTTTTGTCTCAAGTTTTAACAAATGGCCTCAACAAAGTTTTCTAAGTTTGATTTGATAATGTTCTATAGCAAGTCCTACTTCATGTAATGGTGAAAACTGATGGATTGATTTGAGATCAGAATTTTCGTTAGATGGTCTAACTTGCTCCAATTTCAACTAATGCAGGGTGTAGAAGGATTCAGGGCAGAGGTCGAAAAGAGAATGCCTCAGCAAGAGCTAGAGAGAGCATCTCCGGAAGACTTGGTTCAGAAACAATGGGAAAGAAGAGATTATCTTGGTGTACATCCACAAAAACAGGAAGGCTATAGTTTTATTGGTCTTCACATTCCAGTGGGTCGTGTCCAAGCAGATGACATGAATGATCTAGCTCGTTTGGCTGATGAGTATGGCTCAGGAGAGCTACGGCTGACTGTGGAACAGAACATTATTATTCCCAACATTGAGAACTCAAAGATCGAGGCACTGCTAAAAGAGCCTATTTTGAGCAAGTTTTCACCTGATCCACCTATTCTCATGAAAGGTTTAGTGGCTTGTACTGGTAACCAGTTTTGTGGACAAGCCATAATTGAGACAAAAGCTCGTTCCCTGAAGATCACCGAAGAGGTTCAAAGGCAAGTATCTCTAACGAGGCCAGTAAGGATGCACTGGACAGGTTGCCCGAATACGTGTGCACAAGTTCAAGTTGCAGACATTGGATTCATGGGATGCCTGACTAGAGATAAGGACAAGAAGACTGTGGAAGGCGCCGATGTTTTCTTAGGAGGCAGAATAGGGAGTGATTCACATTTGGGAGAAGTATACAAGAAAGCCGTTCCGTGTGATGAATTAGTACCACTTATTGTGGACTTACTAGTTAAGAACTTTGGTGCAGTTCCACGAGAAAGAGAAGAAACAGAAGACTAATAAAATTTGGATTAGATTATAATGATGGAATGTGCAATTATGTCTAGAGATTATGGAGGTATATAGTTGAGAACTGGTTTGATTTATCAGAAATATGTTGTGTTCATATCATTTATTGTTACGATAAATCAACACAAACATTCCTACCTACCTGAGAATTATTACATACTATATTCTTTTGAAGCAGATTGCATCCATCCTCCTCTATTGAATATTATTAATACCGTGTTGTTCCTTGTAACTGCAATATCATTTTTTTCAGATGTCATGCTTCTTTGAGTCAGTTCTTGCAAGAGATTTGCTCGCAAGAACTGATTCTCTGAAATCACTATGCATCGCGATTACATAGTTTCAGTCTTTGAAATTGCAAAACATGTTGTAGTGACTAGTGAGTACCAAGAGACAAGCAAGAAAGAACAAAATTTCCTTGTTTCTTCAACTTCCTTCCTTCCTTCAAGACCCAATTTTTTTTTCTCCCTGAAAGAATATACTAGAAAGATAATATATCCCTTTTATTTTCCTCATTAGTTTTTGTAAAAAAAGGAAAAGAGAATTCCGTTTCTTTACAAGATATGGAAAGGATAAAATTGGAGAATTTGGTTTCTATAAAAATAAAAATCAGTAAATTTCTACCCAAAAACTATATAATTCTAATCCTAATCAACTTAGGAAAGATGTTAGCTTCTATAAATACAGTATCTTTTTCACGTCTCCTCATAGTTTTGCCTTACAAACCTAATCTCTTTTGTTCTCCTTAATTTCTCTCTCTTTCTCTGCTTTGATGGCTTCCCAATGCAGCAGCCGCTGTTTATTGATCTTGTTTTTACTCTCTTCCTGTCTTCTTCTTGTTTCTTCTTTCTCTCTGGCGAAAGAAGCTGTACTACTTGGTCCCTTTGATTCCATATACAATTTAGGGGATGCTGATTCTTCTTTGTCATCATCAGCCGCTAATCATATTGCTGCGACCCTCAATTTGCCTTCTCCACAACCCTACACCCAAGAAGGCACTGAATTCGTCGAGTCTGGTCTGAATTTTGAGACCCCTGGAGCAACCATCATGAAACCCTTTTTCTTCCTCAAGAATGGCATCCCACCACCTCCTCAGTCTCATGACCTATCACAGATCGTCAAATTCATGAGGTTCTTTTATAAACATTGCTTCAACTTTCATGACTCTGGAAAAAACAAGCTTCTTCAGAAGGCACTCATCTTTATGGATCAACCAGGCATCAACGACTACAAGCAGGCCTTTCTACATGGAAAATCTATTTCCGAGGCATCCCATCTCGTGCCTGAAGTGGTGGAGACCATTAAGAATTCAGTTGAAAGACTCATCAAAGAAGCTGAAGCTAAAACTGTTATGGTTTCTGGAATTGTACCCATGGGCTGCTTTCCAGGTTATCGGACTCTGTTTCCTGAGGGCGATTCAATTGACAAAAGCAGATGCCACAAGGGACTGAATATGTTCACAAAGCTTCACAATGATCACCTTTGGCAAGCAATTCTGGAGCTGCGCTTGAAATACCCTGATGTTCACATCATATATGCAGATTACTACAAAGCGTTCATGGTCCTTCTAAAGAACCACGCCTTTCTGGGGTTCAAAAAGAATACTTTGATGAAGGCATGTTGTGGCAGTGGCGATGGTCTGTTCAACTTTGATATGCAGATGAAGTGTAAAGATGACGGAGCTGCTACATGTTCTGATAGGGCTTCTTATATACATTGGGATGGATTTCAACTGACCCCTGAGGCTTTGGAGAACCTGATTGATACACTCTTCAGCCAAAAAGGGTTCATATTTCCAGAATTCAAGTTTGGAGAAGATACAGCAGCAGTAGAAAGGCATCATTCCAGGAATCATGGAGGAATCAAAGACATGTCTTCTATTGTTAGGCATTTACTCTTCGTCTAAGACAGTTGTTTATGTTCAGTTACGTCTCAGTAAATAGTATGGGTTCAAAGAGTTCAAAGAGTAGGCCCTGAGTGATTCATATATATGTACAGGGGAATGCCCCTCTTAGCTTCTGTAACAACTAACTATAATTTTGAGTTTTATCAAATAAAAGTACCCTGATTTAATTCAAACATTATTCTAGAGATGATTTAAATGTTTATTAAGTACTCTGTTTATCTTGTTGTGTTATCTTTCAACCTTATTCTTAAACCTGAGATTAACAACTAAGGGTTTGACTGTTTGTATTCTACCAAACTTGGGCGCTCAAATAATCTATTGAATCTTCTTTTACTGTTCTGGTGTACTGTTTATCACATGCTCCACTTCAATACTCACCATCAAGGTTCCAATATATCTATCTAAGATGACGTAAGAGACTCAACACAATGTCACCTGCAAACTTGCACATATTTTCGTTATTAGTTCAGGTATGCTCTACAATCTGAGAACATCTCCTTCTCATAAGGAGCACTTTACTGTCCTACCATGCTCGACGCATATGATAAATGTCACCTCCCAATCGAGAGAAAACCTCAGTCATGCAGGGGCATCAAGTCAATGGCAATAGATGGTCTTTTTTCCAAAGGGAGAACCTCAAAACTCATAGGAATCCAATTACAGTGAGAACAAAGTAAAAGCAATACAGAAGAGATACACTTCTTTGAAAGGACGTGTACATTAGGGATAAATCTAAAAATGTTTACAATGAATATTATTAACTGCGATACCTATTTTTTGATTGCAAAGAAGCTTTCACTTTCTGCACAAGAACTAAAAACCAAAGCCCCCACTGAAGCGAAAACCAAATATCTTCGAACTTGGTTGATCCAATAGCCAATCAATTGATTGCTGTAGAAAAATTTGCCAAAAGTAGCGATTCGTCCCTAATAAAAATAATTTCATCAGTCAACAATACTGGCTTGCAAATATCTTGTTTTCTAAACTATGAAAGAAACTTCCAATGGCAACACAGTGATACCCAAAACAAAGAATCACTTGCATTGCTGTCCTGACTACATTTAACAGCTTGAATATCAAAGGCAACTGGTGTTTCTATTAACAACATTTTAGAAATTCATAATTGAAGAATTCCACATCAAAAGGTTAAGTCAATTACTTAAATGGTCAAATATCAAAGAGAAACCTTAATCACACAGACTATTATAAAGGGATTACAAGTATACTTAAGCATAGTTAAGAAACCACACATTATTGGATGACTTTGTCATCATAACATTTACATATAAGTCTAAATGTATTTCAAACAGCCTTTGAAGTTGGAAGTTCAAATTGTTGCTGAAAGTATTCAAGAGCTGTCAAGAGAAACCTCTTGTCTGAGTAAGCATTACAATCTAGACCTTAGCATAGAGGACTTTCATTTAACTGGAAAGGAAGTAAAAAAGGGCACAAAATCAGCTTAATGCACTGCAGAAGGAATACGAGTTTTGACTCTCAGAACTATTAATCTATTATCATTAATGGAGTACCTTTTATTCGGGAGACCGAGATTCAGTGCAGGCAGACTTACTACTACCAAGTACAAAAGATTGCATTCAAGATTCCCTTTGACCCTTTAAAATATGAAAAGAGCACACATGCACCTTACAATAGACAAATATGTCTAAACAAATAAAACGCCCAGCAAAATTTTCTCCCTTTCTCATTCATAAAACACCTTTTGCCAAGTATTGGCACCTGTATTATTTTTTATTGATAACCAAAAGAAAGGTGCCTGTATCATTTTTAGGGCACAAATAGCAGCGAGTTTCAATATGGAAATGAATCTAATATTAGGAGAACAAATATTATTACCAGTTCAAATACTTGTCGCCAAAAAGTTACAGTCCATTCTGTTCAGGATCAGCAACTACTGAATCAGGCAGCGTCGTTTCTACTGACTTCCTAGGCCTTCTGTACCAGAGGAAAGCAAACCACAAAGTTCTGAACAATGCCCCATTTGCAAGGTGTGGGATAAAAATTCGACCCCAATATGGATAATATGGTCCCGGCAACTTTAGCAGTGTGAAGAAAAGGCCAGTGACAATCAAATGCCAAGGAACATCTGCATTCTAACATTGTAAACAGAGCAAGAAACATGTCAGAATACAACCAGAATCCGTTCATATTGTTTTATTCTTGGACAAAGAAGCAGAACAACTCTAGACATATAGCACAAACATGTGGTCATCATTGCAAAAAGCCAAACCAGGATAAGTTGAAGTTAGCGGGAAAAAGTAACAAGGATAGGCAAACAGAATAACAGAGATGGAAGAGTCTGTTACTGTAGAAAATAATTGCGAACATTTTTTCAATCTAGTTTCGAAGTTCTACCAACTAGGCAGTGAAACTCTAGAGGCAATCTAATAGATCACTTTTCGTTTTGTTTGAGAAATGATCTAATAGATGCATTTAAATTGGTAACATTTCATATATTATTTATGTAGAAGACATAATTAAGCAAAACGAAAGTGTGCTTTCTCTTACAACTCAAGCTTTTAGATGAGATGTTCACACACTTCAACAATTTACATGAAACACAACTGTATCAGCAACATGGAATTTAACCATCAACAGTCTTCTACTGGAATTTCATGAACAATGTAGAGCAAAAACGATCACCTTGAGATATGGAGATGACTCCAAAGCTGCTGACTTTAAGATGCCAGCAATAGCAACACCAGCAAGAAAAGGAAGCAGGGTGATATAAAGCTTCCTCTCATGTGCACAGTAAGACAACTCACTGATTGAGGTAACTACAAGTACGGGTACATACAAGTATTTGGTAACTGTCAAAACAATGTCAAGAATAAGTTGAACAAAATGGTCCAGAGCTCTATTCCAAGGGAAACTCTTGACTGGTGCAGGAGTATTGTCCCACAATTTCCTTGCCTGGTCTATTACGTTCTCCAAGTTAAATTTGTGAGGTTCATCTGATCGTCCAGCTGCTATGTTCATATTGCAGATTATTTTTGGTCTTGAAATTGGACGTGTCCCGTTTGATCTGATGCTCAAAATGCACATATTAGACTTAGTCAACGATGGTAAAATCTGCCAAGATAGAAGGAGACTGTCATCCAGATTGAGTAAACAGGAGAAAAGAAGCAAACCAGGAAAAAAAGGAATAACAAGAACGACAACCATAACAATAAAGTAAGAGCAACAAAAGCAAGAAAAGAACCAAAACAATGACAACAGAAAAAAGAAACAACAATAGTAGTGGGTACTAGACAACAACCAACCACTAACCTAGTAATCCAAATGAAGGGCTACAAACTTTCTCAAATTAAATTGTCAAACAAAAAAGGAATGAAGTAAGTGGCATTCCCATATGGATGTAAAATATAGAATTAAATGGTAGCTTGGTTTCAAAACAACAAGAACCTGAACAAATGACTAAAAGAAGAACAAAGAGAAGATCCTATCAAGTTTCAACAACCAGCTCTACATGGATATGAGAATATATCAACAACAACAAGTAGGGTCTGGGAGGATAGCGTGTACGCAAACAATACAAAATTTCTCCGTGCCATAAGTAAAGAAAAATTCCAGTAATTGTCAAGAAACCCAATTCTTTAGATCAAGAATCACATACATGCTTAAATATTTCAAGAAACGCATAAATCCACGCTAAGAATTTAAAGAATAGAGTCTAATAATAATGGAAAAACATAAAAGAGGGTAATGTTGGTCACCTGAAAACCATTGGCGGCTGGAGAATTGAGTTTGAGAGCCATCATAGCAGGGAACTGGGTTTGTGTAACTGCCATGAAAGATAAGGTCTTCTCCACATGAAATTGAGGGGTTTAAGGGGATGGGTTCTTGGAGTTTGGAAGAGTGGTGCCGGATCCGGGTACACCCACTGCTTAGATTATCCATGGACCTCTAAATGGGCCGTGTATTTATAGGAAGTTGAAAATGGGGTGAAAAGACAAATATACCCCTTAATTTTACAATTTAGAATCGGAATGATTTTTTTTTAAAAAAATAATTGTAAATTTACTTTTTAATTTCAAAAAAATGTCTTGCGGTCTTAAAAAAATAGTTTATCCATTTTTTAAAGTTGGGTAGGGTCGGTCCCGAGGGTAAGCATTATAGTGGCATAGCTAGAAATTTGGCGAAGAGTGTATCCTTTCGCCTAAGGTGGCTCCACCCTTGAAGCAAAACAGGCGAGGTAATCTTTTAAAGAAACATGACATTTTTGGAACTAAAAAATCAATTTTAGAATTATTATTTTTAATTCAGTAAATATGACTCTTGTTACTGAAAAGAGTAAATATGCTCTTATACAATAGGGGTATATGTACACCACTTTTTTAATAAGGAATATCATTCCTAAGTCACAAAGTTGAGGCATATATTTATCTCTTTTTCCTTGAAAATAAAAGAAGTTGTCAACATTATCTAGTTCATTCTTTGCAGAATTGAATTGGCATTTTGAGCAATATTTGAGATTGTTTTTACCAAAAACAATATTTGAGTTGAAGTTAGAATTTTTTTCGGTGAATATTGAATCCAAACTGTTTTACCCTTCGTCCTATTCTCTTTAACTTTTCCTTAGATGTTATATTGTAGAAGGAACTATTGCTTGTTTTGGACTTTGGTTTTGTTTACGATTATTTAGATATGATTATTAATTAGATAGTTAAATTTAAATTTGATTAGTTTCATTAGAAAAAAGGTAGATATTTGCCAAAAATAAGACAAACGACTTGAGTACAAAACTCCAAAAAACTTTATTAAAATGGGCACTACTGTCCATACTTGACATTATTTGGTTTTATTCAAATATGATGCCAAGTTGCCAACCCCATGGGGTAATGCTTTGCATGAACAAGACTAAACAAAATGAGAAAAGAAAAAGTGGATACAATACAGCACCCACATCCACCCCCTGTTTAACTTTATCTATGACACATAATTTCCTTCTGGGTGATTTGGCGTACAACAAGCAAATAAATATAGGATACAACTGATAACTAAGCCGGGAGCCCAAAACTTCTACAGCAAGCAAAACTCTTCCACAGCAAATCTTGAAGCACTCTCTACTTGTTGGAAAATAATAAGACTTCACAAATACCTGCAAGGAAGACTGGATACAAAATAAAACAGAAATGTCAAGGATGATCATATACACATTCCGACATATTGCTCAACCGTGGGGCGGGAGGGGGGGGATAATGGTAACTAAACCAAAGAGTTTATAAGGCTCTTTGGACCATCATTTGCTCTCAGTGACTAGATTAGCTAGAAATTAGAATCAGGTCCAGCAGAGTATGGACAAATTGTAAATATCTGAACTTGATACTTAAATTTGAGCATCAGATGCATAATTTGACACATCAATATTCTTTTTTTGGGAAGAAATCACTTAGTGTTTAGTCTTTGCAGGGAATTGAATCTAAGACCTTATGGCGCTCAATCCACTTCATAGACCATTAGGCCACACCCTTGGGTACAACTCAACAATATTCTACATAAAACCTAATTCAAATTGCAAGCACAGGAGAAAAAAAAGATCTAAACGAGAAAAAAGATTATTTCGTTACTTACAGAAAACAACTTATGCAGAACAGCGGGCAGGATTTAACTAGTGCCAGTACATACATACTCATGTTGCGTCACAGAAAAGCAATTGCAAGATGGAAGAGCTTTACCTTATGCCATCAGGAGGATTGAACCACAAAAAATATTCTACGGAAACAGAGGTAGGCAACCGAGTCCCAAGTTCTCTGGAATTCCCATCATTAAGTTAAGATTTTGTAAGGCTTGACCAGAAGCTCCCTTAACAAGATTATCAATCTACAAAAAGGCAATTGGGAGTTCAAATTTAATAACCAACTCCTAATCTAACCAAATATCAGATGCAGTGTATAGAAAAATGCTACAAAACTTACAACAGATATTATTATTGCTCTCCCAGTAATCCGGTCTGGAAATACATTCATGAGGCAATAATTTGATCCTCTAACATGTCGAGTATGGGGAACTTCTTTGTTCTTCAGCAATACCACAAATTCTTCATGCTGGAGAAGGTGAAATACACACATATATCAATCATCCTAAAGAGAAACATAAGCATTTTACTTATGCATATGCAGATAGAATGATATATCATAACTACTTTTTGGACTCTAGAAATGACAGGATAACTGCTCTACTCGCACAAAGATATATATCTCAAACTCTTATGTGGGTGGGATGAAATGTAATGTACAACAAGTCAACAACATCCTAATCCCAGTTACAACTACAAACGGTATCTAAGAATCACAAAGAGTAGAATAAAGCCTTCTATAGAAAATGAGAACTCTTTCAAATTTGAAAAGGAAAAAAAAAATTGGGATGTCAATCGTAAGCAACCTCAGAATACATTGAAAACAGAATCAATTGAGGAATATACTAACAGGAGAAATGGAGTTCTATTGGTCAAGGTGCAGAAAGAAAAATGGTAATGAAATCCATGAATAAAATGCTGCTCTGGTAATGCGGCAGAAAGTATATACCTCATAGTAGTTACCAAGGTGATCTTTCAAATCCTGAGTTGTCACTCCTGGAGCCATTTCCACATAAATAGTCGATTGCATACCACGGCTCTGTAGCACAAAAAGAACAGATAAAAAAACATCCTAAGAGAATGACCTGCTGAGCAGGGCAGCTAGACAAACTAGAACTGGGTTCAGCTATTACCATTGGCATAAGATGTGGAGTGAAGCTGACAGTAACTTTTGAATTTGCAGCTTCTGATAAGCCTTGTTCAATCTCTGGCACTGTAAATAAAATTAGAACTCTCACTAGTAAGATTACACTTGATAAGAAATTCTGAAGCAAAACTCAGGTGAACGGAAATTTTGTCAGTATGAACTACCCGTTTCGCTAGCTTCTGAAAACTTGAGGTACATTACATGATAAAAACAGGCACATGGAAGAGATAAACAAATGAACTTCATGCAGAACCAAAGTCACTCAACTGGTACCATTAAGTTAAAAGCTTTTGGGTTTCTCTGACATAAGATTAATTCTAAACTAAGGTCAATTACAAAATAGATAACCATATTCATCAAATAATGAGTATTGTTATATGATCCTAGTGTATTGGCTTAATTATAGTCTTACATTTTACAGCAAAATACTATTTCTACCCTTCTAAGAAGGAATCATGTTATTGCTATTTGAAAAGGCAGATAAATTTTGCCTTTATTTTTTTTAATGAATAGACTTGTAATATTTTGATGTTTAACTTCTTAAAATATTTTTTATCCATTTCTGAATTGGTTCAACCTACAGCTTGGTCCGATAGAGTATCATGTTAAGGTGAGATGAATTGTCAATTTTTGATACTCCCTATGTCCCAATTTACGTGCCTTACTTTGCTTTTTGGTCTGTCCCAAAAAGAGTCCCGTTGTATATTTACTATTTAGTAAGTTTTTCAATTCCAACATTCTACCTAGCAAGTTTAAGACCATAAAATTTAAAGTACTACACACATCTTTTATTTAAGACCACAAGGTTCAAAAGTCACCCTTTATTTCTAACTTCGTGCTCAGTCAAACTAAGACACTAAAATTAAGACGGAGGGAGTAATTCTAATTAGCTCTTAAATTTGTAAATTTTTCCATTAAAAAAATTAAGAAACAATAACTTAGACAATTTGGATTAACAAATAAAGCTTCATTATTTGCACAGCACAGCTAAAATGGATTACTGACCATGTCGATGTCTGGTTATACCATAAGAATGTATTCCTTCAGCTATTTCAGTGTATAAATTTGCTTCCTTTGCACCACGACCTGCAAGATAAAGTTTGAGAAGCCGGTTACTACTGCTAAAGTACTACCAGTGGCAGTCATGACTAGGAAAGGGTACAGAAAAGTACAAAACCTGCTCCACTGACACCAGATTTTGAGTCAATAATTATGTTTCTTACTTCAATGAGGTTGGACTGCAAAAATAAAGAAAGAATCATCCAAGAGTGAGCCATGGACAAAACACAAGAAAGGAAAAACTAAATACATTAGACTGATACAGATGTTTGAGTTCTCAACCAAAAGGGAACGTCTTAAACACAAATTGCTCCTCCAGTGTATGAGCACTATAGCATTTGTGCATCAAACACCTTAGGCTGACGGCAAGCAAAGAAAATCATGCCTCAAAATTAAAAAACACAATTTTCAGTCATATTTTATAAAATGAGCTGGCATATGGGATAGCCATTTTTCTGAGCAAAAAAAAATTGCATCCCTAAGCTTACCGAGGAATCTCTTGCTAATTCAGAATCAAGACTGACACAAGGAAAACCATTTGTTTCAAGAAAGAGGGATCATAAGATTTTCAGAACATTGTAGCAGAAACCCATGACTTCAGATATAATTTGTGATTGGATCAACTTCAGATATTAGAAACCGGAAGAAAAAGAAAACCTCTAGTCAAAGACACTTTCAAAGTCACAATACAGGCCGTTGAGTTCAACTACATTAGAACCTTAGAATTTAGCCAGATACTTGTTCAATTGGAATATGTTTCCACTAAATTATATATAAAAAAAAAAGGTGCTTGCCTAGGATGTCTGAAACTAGCTTTTGATTAAAAATCAGCTGAATATTCATTGTAGACAGGATAGTTTAAAGGTTAAAAGGGGACAGATAAAACCATGAGAAGCTGGTCAAATGAAAGGTTATTTTGAGAAGATTTTTTCTTCTTATGAAGGGATGAGTCATTTAAAATTCAGATTTCCAATAAAGGAGGCCTATAGGTAGATCCTTCCATTTTCAAGTAATCTTGACAAACTCACAATGCATGCAATAAAAGATATGCTTGTTTTTCAACTTAGACGCAAACCTTTATCAAGGGTATAAGAGGAAGTTGAACAGATGTTGGATAACAGCCAGGATTTGCAACTAGACGTGCACTTTGAATTTCTCTCCTTGAAATCTCAGTCAAGCCATAGACTGCTTCTTTCTGCATCAGTTGAAAAAATTCAATATGGTGAGCTTACATTGGCTACAAAGAGATATAATAGGAATACTAAAGGAAAAATTCTCTCATTTTCTCATATGAGACTCCAAATTTTCTGGTTATGACTCTTGGATGTACACCTTCACATAGCATTTATATTCATATATATATATATTTATTTATTTATTTATTCGTTCAATGGGTGATATAACATTATATATATGCATCAAACATGAAGTTCTTTTTTTCTTTTTCATTTTTCTGGAAGAATTAAGGAGGGAGAAAAGAAATCAACTACTCTACCTGTAAAGCCGTTGCTTTGTGAGGCTGGCCATACCATTCCTCGTACTCAGCAATATCTTGCAATCTGAAGTCCTACATGACCATCATGATGACAGCAAATATAGAAAATGTATGAGATGCAGAGTAAAGAAACTATTTTAAGTACAGTGGAAGTATAAAGTCTGAACTGAATGCCTACCGCAGAAAGATCGACAATTTTTAGATTTGTTGGGAGACTTTTGATAATTTCCTGCACAGGGCAAGTAATTAACAAAAATAAAAACATTAATGCAAGGCTCCGAATCTCCTTTAGAAATTATGATAGACAAAGTGAAACCACTATTCCTTCAATAATATGCTGATTGATTTTGGGAAATCCAAGATGTGGAATAGCTACAAACCTGAGTTGTACCATGTGGTAAACAACAAAAAACGGCATCCACAGCAGAGAAATCTGCATCTTTAACAGCGACTAGATTTGGTAGATCCTGTATGGGAATAATAAAATTAATACTTCACGAGCTAAATTGAAGTGCACAATCCTTTCCCTCAGAATGAAAAGAGCAGGATTGAAAATGATCTTACAACATTCTAATAAAAGAGTTAGATATAGAAGAGACTCAATCTCCTTCATGATACTTTCATTTTGTCAGAAAGTCGAGCAAAAAATAAAGATAGCAAAACATATCCACAAGTATTTATCAAATAATATCATACTTTGGAATCCTATATCAAACCAATTCAAAATTAAAGTCCAACAAGAAAGAATACAATCGTGCAAATATGAAGATACATACTTGTGTGACCAGGTGAGGGAAAACAGATTCGATTGATTGGCCAGCTTTCCTGTCAGCCGTCATCAAAGTAATCTGAAAATGTGGATGATTTCGCAGGAGTCTAATAATCTGCAACAAATTTTATACTTGTCAAGTGATAATATAGAACCAAGGGATGCGCATGATATGGCTAACAATATGTGAAAACAAGAACACGAAGCAAAATTACCCGAAATGACATGATATCACACTGCAGAAACAGAAGATTAACTTAATCGGAGAAAGGGTACAGAAAAGGGCCATTAACGTTCTAGCCACATTTATTTTTTTAGCCATAATTAAAATTATAATGGGAGGAAATACTATTCTCTTATTCATCTTCCAGAATTTTTCATCTCATATACAACGCATAACTTCCAATGCTGAAAATATCCTTATTGAGTCATGAATTAGAATAATAAGTATATCCTTCCACTATGTAAAATCTCAAAAAAACGATTTGACTATCCAGACAAATGTTTAGAAGAAATGGAAGATTCATTTTCCATATTAGGAAGTATTCAAACTCTCTTGTTTGTTTTAACAGAACACAACAATCAGTAATGTAGTAGCAAAGGTTATTTCCAGTTGTACCTTAACCACAAACCTCTCATGGGCCAAGTTCAGAACAACTGCATCTGCAGAGTCTCAAACAATGATCCAGGTTCATCACTATTACCAAAAATTGAAGTTTGTTGTTTATTAATATTATTTTTATTTTTTGGGTTTACATCTACACATGTTTGTTGAGCTTAGTTTTAAAAGTATTAGAGCAACTTTTTGAATGCATCTTAAATTTGTTCTCAGAAGAAACAATGAACCACTCGAATTTTTATTTTTATTTTTTAAAAATGCAACTAAAATGAAACAATGAAACGCTCCAAAAACTAATTTTTAGTGCAAGAGCATTAGACATTTATTAGACATCATCTGTCAAACATAATAACTGGATTGCTGTCAAAAGAGTATAACTTTAAAATCTTATTTTTAGGCTTATTCTTTTCAAAGTTCACAGAACCAAAAGCAAATCTTATTTTATTTTTAAAAAAAAAACAGAAATTGAATGTAAAGCTAAAGCTAAAGTGCGCCACTAGCATCGACAAAGGGCTCGTACTCACCTCTGAACCAGTGTAGCCACTAGCACCTAGCACACCAATACGCAATTTTTCCAATTTGTTAGCTTTACCATCCGCAAACTGCAAGCTTTGCGCTGGTGATGATGACGCCAAGGAAGTAATTCTAATTCTGAGCTTACCAGCCTTAGAAACCTTCAGTTCGTCCTACAAATCACTTGTCTAATCAGAAAGAAAAATTGTACGGTACATTTCATTTGAACTATCTAAATATAGATATAGAGAATTCATAAAGCCTAATTTTGGGTAAAATAATACAAAAGCGGGATTCAAAATTGAGACTTTGGAATACATACCTGGTACTTCCAAAGGCAACCTCCATTGAAGAGGTTAGAACTGAGCGCAGCCAAAGAAGCCATTGGAGATTCAGAGTTTGAAGTGTGAATTTTGCAAAATGAGAAAGAGAAGAGTAAAGGGTATTTTAGTTCAATATGAAGAACAGAGCAGAATGATCCGATGGATATATGGTTTGACCCGACTCCACCTACTCCTATTTTACGCAATGATTTATTGAAGCAAATTTGAAATAAATTATTAAAATAAGTTTAAATTTATACATGCAAAGTTACCAATTAAATTATTAAGCATGTACATCTAAATTATTAAGCATGTACATCTACGGTCTACGTCAAGAATTGGGGCCTTATTGGCATACAATAGATGCCCACTTATTATTTTTATTACTTTTTTGATGGTGGTGTAGGTTTGTATTGGAATCGGCAAATAAATCATGTGGTAAATTTATGTTGGTGAATTAAGTATATAATAAATCAACATATCTTTTAACTTAGCTTCAGTTGGAATTTACATCCTCTAACTTTGAATGTGCACAAGTAAACACTAAAATTGAACAAATAGACACATTCGTCCTACGTGACGTTCTATAGATGTGGGTGTTTGTTTGTTCAATTTTATATTAGTTTAAAAGTCTACATGTGAACGCCCATAATTGAAATGTATAAATGTCAACTTAAAATCAAATTAAAGGGCATATTTATGTATTATGCCTTCATTTTATTGTTCAAGTTCCAAGTAGTGTTTGTTAAAGAGAGAATCCACCTTGCACCACTTGGTGTAGTGGAATGTGGAAATATTACAATACATATGGAAAAAAAGAGCAAAAAAAACTTTCATTAGTTGAATGAACTAAGAAAACTTGAAACTCCCGAAAATATAAAGACAAGTATTGTCTAGGATGGATGGAGGTCATAATATTGGTTTTAATTGTTGGGAATAAGTACTTTTATTTGTCAACCTTCTTTAAAAGATTTAAAAAAAAAAAAATGAATTTGGTTTATGGCAATGAAAAAGCAAAAGTTCTAACCGCAGACTCAACCATAATTTCAGTGCTGTAAACATAATCAATTGTGACAAAATTGTGATTGTACAACAACATATGCCTTTGTAGACGTTATACTGGTAAATTTACAGAATAAAGAATTACACATTGCACAAATACTTTCAATTAAAGATAATACAAAATCATGGATTCACTATTTACAGATTTCCATGATTTGTGTACAGTGTATATAAAGTACAAAGGGATATATGAACAAACTGCTAGCCAAAAACTAACACCATGTACAGATGATAACTTACTCTTCCTCCTTAAGTTGGTAAAAGAATCTTCACCGATCAAAGACGGTTAGAGGGGAAGATGATCCTCTGTTTGAAATATGTCCATTTTCATTCGTTCTTAGAGGGGAGGATTGTGGCATGAACTCAGACAATCGGAGCCGTTCGTTAGTCATTTTGTTCTGTTGAAGAAGGAACTTGTTAGTGACTTAGCGTCGCTAGTTTGATACATTCAGTGTTCTGAGGTTTACGATCAAGCAAAATGATTGAAAATAATATGGATATCTGTTACCTTAAATTTGGCATCTTGTAGTTCTCTTTCCAGTGAAGTCAATCTGTTTTTGAGCTGCTCAAGTGCTTCTTCAGCTGCTGAGATCCCCATCTCAGATGTTGGTTTTGTTAATCCAGCAGCCTGCAGTATAAATTTCAAATGATAAAAAAACCGACGCCAAAGAACTAGAGACTACAACCAACATTTCCTTTGATATTATAATAAATAAAAAATGAATAGTAAATAAAAAATGAAATTTCCTTACCTTTAGCACAGTAGTGCACAGACCAAGTAACTTCTGCGCCAATTGCAATCTTTCCTCTTCCTTTTCCTGTTGGACAAATTCCCAACTATTTAATTCCTAGAGACACACAAAAGAATTCTCCTCTTCCTAACATAATTCATGTCCACAAGTCACATTGTGGAATTCCTCCTAGGCACATAAAATGATTAACAACTAAAACATACAAACCTTCAACTTGTTCTCCAGCGTTTGCTCCTTGTCAAAATTAATGTAGGGGCTTCTTCCATTAGTTTGACGGAAGTGAGCCAGCTCTTCCCTAACTCGAGAAAGAATTGATTCAGTTTTCCGCAGCTTTACTATAAGGTCATCATTCTGATTTTTCAGTAAATTGTTCTCTTCCTGTGACACAGACCCATGGTGGATTAGTGCTGTAGCGAAAAATACCAACTAACACTTTTAAGATGTCAATCTTCAGTCTGGAAAGTCTGGTAAAAAGGTACCAACCTTAATTTTAGCATGATGGTGGATGCGCTGTTGAAGGTTTTGCTGACCAGACAACTTCTTTATGTCTGCTTCAAGTTCGATGACCTTCTTCTTATGATTCATGTTCTCCATCTGAGAAAATTTCCGGTGTATAAGTGATTTTTTAATACAGTAACAACCTGCCGAGGTGTAATAGAAAAAAGAGTTACTAACATCTCTTACCTTTATCATTTCATTTTCTGTTGTAAGCAAGTGATTCCGCTGGCGCAGTTTTTCAAGTGCAATCTGTGCAACCACCATCTCTGCTTGTTTTCTCTCAATTTCCTCAATCCATCTAATTATCAATAAAAAACAAATGAGAAACGCAACAACAACAAGATGACTCTCGAAATCTAATTGACAATTAATACCCTTTCCGCTCCTCTATAAACTCATTTAGTTGTTGCCTCAGCTTACAAAACTCGTCCTCCTGCAAGCAAGCAGTTACTAATATTAGATAAGTCCAGACTATGTTGGTTATATCATTATATCCTTACTAAGTTTACCTTGACCTCAGCATCAACATTACGGACTCGAGCCATCTCCATCAACATTTTTATTTGAGGATTATCCAGCAGATTCTGGTGGGGTAACCCACATAAGCCAAACAAAAACATACGTGAAATTGTCAGGTTCTAGAGAACATAAAAAAGGAAATGGCCTTTGGTATTAACATTCCCTCCTAACAAAAAATATAGGTTTATTTAAATTACCGCATAGTTATTCATGTCCAGTTTCACACCCAATAGATCGCGCATTACATCATGGGTCATGCTATCAGCAACAGCTAATTTTGAGTTCAACATGAATATCTGCGATGAGTGTATGATCACAATTGAGTAGAGGAAATTTTACAAAAATAAGTCATTGTTTTAGGATGTGAATTACCTCTTTTTGTCTACTAGCAGCTAGAGCCTCAAGTTCTTGGATGCGATGTCTTTCTGCACTATGCTCCTCATCCCTCTCAGACATCAATTGCTGAACCAAGCCTATGCCAATACATTTGAAAGGGGAACCAGAACCCCTAGGCTTTGAAGAATTTTTTTCCAATTTGCTTGATGATAAAGCTGGAGCTTGGGTGGTGGCATGGGGATCCATCTTCACTTTCTGTGCCAATGCTTCTAATGCCTTAAACTGTTTTGCATTTTGATATTAGGTTAAACCCACAGATTAGCAACCAACACCAACTCTATCAAAATCAATAGAAGGAATGAGAAATCACCTTTTCCTTATACTCGCTAGCCTGTGCCTCAGCATGCAAATTTAGTTCTGATATATGAGCCTTGAAGTGGGCTAGCTGTTAAAGAAAATGAAATAAGTTAATCTAACAAGTTAATGAAATTGAACGTCAACTGGCTGACTGAGCTTAAAGAACAAAAAATTATAGTGAAGATACAGAGGACCAAACTCACTTCAGCATCTCTAGAGATGATTTCTCCCTCAAGAAGTTGTATGCGCTGACAAGCTTCTTGAAGACTCTTTCCTTTTTCCTCTTGATGCCTGTATACATAGATATCAAAACATTTAGAAACCTAAATGAGTCCTATTTTTGAGATTTCAGGTTGCATGGTATAGTTGTCAGAAACCTTCTCATGTCAGCATCACTGCCTTTTACATTGTTCATGTGTTGCTTGATGGCATGAAGTTCCAGTTCCAGCTCCTCTCTTTGTAACCGCTGTCGCTCAGCCTCTCCTCTGACAAATTCAACCTATAAAGTGGGAAATCATGTTATTAAATGATAAATAAATCGATAAGTACATTTAGCTTTGCAAGAATGAGTACCTCATTTTCTAGTACATTCACTGTGCATTCCAGTTCCTCAACAGACCTCTCTAACAATTTAACCTCCTCTTCTTTCTCAACAGCCTGGAGTTTTGCTATATCGGCCACCTGACATGAATAGAATATTGTTGTAAGAAAAAGGGGAGTGAGAAAAAGAAAACAAAAAGAAGGAAAACATTAGAGATCAATACTGAAGAAAGTAGTTTAAAACACAATTCCACCTCTTTCGCTTCTATGGCAATTGCTTCATTTTCCTCCGCAAGAGTTTGTGTTGTCTCTAGTTTCTTTTTCAACATGAGAATTTCTCCATGGAGGTCTTCCTTCTCACTAGTAACACCACTGAGATTTCTCTTCAAGCATTCAATTGAGTTGCTCATTTCGCCAACGATATCACCAAAGTTGGTAATTTCTATCTCTAAGTTCTCACAGACTTCCCTTTTCTCTAACAATTCCTCCTCGATGGAACATTTTTCTTCCATGGTGTCCTTGGCACTGGCAGCCAGCTCCGAGTTTGTGTGTGAAAGCAATTCTATGTCCTTGCACTTTTGAGAGATATCTGACTCCAAAATTGCTGTCTTACTTATCTTTTCCTGCAACTGAACTTCAAGCGCTTGACCTTTGCAAACAGCTTCATCAAGCTCATTTTCCAAAGAATTTATAGAAGCCATCAGATCATCAATTTCATCTTTTTGATCCTTGTGGTTAGATGCCGATTCTTGTAACAAACTAAGGTCAAATAGCATTCCTTTGATGATGTCATCCTTCCGTACTAACTCAGTTTGCAGGGAAGCACTTTGTATTAATATCTCTTCAGCAGAATTCTCCAATGATTCAAACTCTTCAAAAAACTTGGATGCCCTTTCAAGTTCTTCATGTATGTTTTGTAACATGGCATCTAATCCAGCACTTTTATTTTGTAAAGCATTAAGCGCTCTACTCCCAACGCTGTCTACTTTGAGCATCATATCAAAAGTGTCATTGTTACCCTTCTCACAAGATGTGAGTTGGATTCTCAAGAAAGTATTCTCTGCTGCCAAAACATTGATTCTCTCGATCTCTTC